ACAGAGAATGGTCAGCCACCCTCGTTGTGGTTGGGTGTAGTGGTGGTTCAGGAATGAGGTGGATCTGTAGGATAAGCACTGGATTTCCCACCACAAAGTCAGAGGTTTGAGCCCACCAGCCACTCTGTAGAAGAAAGATGAGGCTTTCTGCTCCAGCAAAGATTTACACCTTGGAAAGCCTGTACAGGGTTGAGTTGGAAGCGACTCGGCGCCTTAAAGCCAACAACAACAACTCTAGGGAAGTCTATCTTTTTCTTTTTTGTCAACTCTGTCAACAAAGGTCCTTGTTCCTTGGTGATGTCAGGTGACTTGGCATATACCTCCCCCCATCTCTGCTGAGCTCTCTGTGCCTCTTTGCTAGGTTTTGTTTTGTTTTTCCAGAGATAATTGACTTAAGACCCAATGGGCTCAAGCTTAACAACGATTGTGAGATTGGTGAAGGACCGGGCAGTGTTTTTTTCTGTTGTGCATAAGGTCACTGTGAGTCCGAATCGACTCAAAGTCACCTAACAACAACACCACTAATAAAATCCAAACCCAACCCACTGCCTTCAAGTTGATTCCAACTCCTAGTGACCCGATTAAGGTTTCTGAGGCTATGAATCATTATGGGAACAGAAAACCTCCTCTTTCTCCCTCGGAGTGGCTGAGGGATTTGAACTATTGACTTTATGGTTAGCAGACCAACCCTTAACCCACTATGCCACCTGGGGTGCTTACAACCTACACCCTACAATAGTATTGCCTCATGAACCTAACAAAGAAATCCCATGCTCAGTGAGTACTGAGCCCAGAGGTATAGGGTTACCATTTACATCATATATTTTGTTGTTGTTGTTGGTAAGCGTTATCAAATCAGTTCCAGTTCATAGCGACCCTGTGGGTTTCCGAGAAGCAGCTGGTGAGTTTGAACCACTCACCTTGCAGTTCAAACCAACCTTGTGGTTCAATCCAAGGCAACCAGGAAGTAGGGAGCCGACAGGTGACGTGGAGTTAACTCGGACTCTTGGTGACCCTGTGTGTGTCTCAGTGTAGATATGGGCTTCATAGGGTTTTCAGTGGTTGCTTTTTTCAGAAGTAGATAATGACACCTTTCTCCTGAGGTGCCTGTATGTGGACTTGAACCTCTAATCTTTCAATGAACAGCTTTATGGCACCCAGGGACTCAAAGATGCAGGAAAGAGCTAGGCATTTCTCTGAGGCAGTGAGGAGGAGGCTGGGACAGAGAGAGCCAGGGGCAGAAGGGTGGGAGGTAAGGATGGGCCAGGGGGCAGATCATATGACAACAAGCGGGCCACTTTTTTTTTTTTTAATTGTGAATTGAGTGAAAGTTTATAGGGCAGATCATTAGTTTGACATTCAACAAATCATATACTTTGTTTCATTACAACAATTATAATCCCCACCATGTACCACCATCAGTTAACAGTATTTCCTTCAGTTCATTTTAGCTCTTTTTTTTTTAAACACTCAGGCATATATAATAATTTACACCACCAAAGGACACATTCTGCAAGCCTGCCTCCTGGCTGCCAGCTCTCAGTCCCTCTCTTTCCATGAATCTAGAGTCCTCAGCTGCTCCCCATCTCCATGTCCCCATCTCTGCCTCCATCTCTGGTATCGGTGCTTCTCTGGATAGAATCCCGCATTCCCGTTGTGCTCTTCTCCTTAGATGGTCCTAGGGTCCTCTGTTCCTGGACTTAAGATTAACTACTCCCCCATTTTTGCTACAAAACTTCTACCTTTACAATTGTGACAGTTGCAATTAGCCATGATAACAATTTCTAACTCTTCACTTGACCAAGAGAAATTACCCATCAGCCACTCTCTTATATAAAGATGAGGAAAGCACTCAGGTTCTGAAAATATTACTGATGAGTTGGCTTTGGTTAAAGTCAGCAAAATAAAATTAAAATAAATTCTGTTTAGGAGTATAAAACACACTATTTGGTGCATTGATTCTGACTCAGCAGCTCTATAGGACAGAGGAGAACTGACCCATGGGGTTTCCAAGACTGTAAATCTCTGCAGAAGTTGCCTGCCTCATGTTTCTCCTGAGGGGCAACAAGTGGGTTTGAACCACCCACCTTTCCATTAGCAGTCTAATGCTTAACCCAGTGAGTTAGCAGGGCTCCATTATTTGGGAGTATAGTTAAGATATTTAAAATTAGAATTATGCTGTGAATTTCAATACATTTTCTCTTCTTTTTTTCAATGGCTTTAATGTTCTATAAAAAGTTAAACATGAAAAAAAAAATCCATGTAATGAATTTTGTAAGGAAACATGTCATGGGGGCAAAAGAACATACAAAAACATATAAAAATGTTTGTGAGAAGGATTGTTAAAGAAAATGTCCCCCACCATCTCCATTTAAACTTAACTTTCAACCCTTCACAAAAACTAAAAATTCTTGATAGACAGTTCTGGAAAAAGTTTAAATCACCTGTAGAATGCAGAGACACAAGCTTAGTAAATCAATTTACAATTAACCGTCCCCTGTCGATTAAATGAAAGATAATCAAAATAAAAACAAATAAAAAACCTACTTCTGCCCAAGTGATTCTGACTCACGGTGACCCTTTAAGACAGTAGCATGGCCCCACAGGGTTTCCAAAGCTGTCTTCTTTACGGACACAGACTGCTTCATCTTTCTCCAGCAGAGTACTGGTGGATTTGAACTGCTATCCTTTCAGTTAGCAGAAGAATGCTTAACCAACCATGGTGCCACCCAGCCTCCGAATGGCTGCCAGTCATTTAAAATTGCCCTTTTGAGAAAGGGCCTAAGAATTTGCGCTGTATAAATTATTCATTGTTATTAAGTGCCGTTGTACCGGTTCTGACTCATAGTGACCCTGTATAGGGTTTCCAAGGAGCAGCTGATGATTTTGAACTGCTGACCTTGTGGTTCAAACTGACCTTGTGGTCCAGTACTTTATCCCACAGTGCCACACCAGGATCCAAATTGCTGTGTACCCAACTAGCTCATCTCTTCAGAGGTGTGTTTCTTCCGTCCAATAAAACCTTTTAACTCTAATTGACTTATTGATCAGATTTGTTTTCTTTCAACAAAATGTACATTTTTGTTTGTTTGTTTGTTTGTTTCAGGCCCCAGAACAACATGGGTTGCCCTTGACTTAAATTTTTGGTATTGTGTTCATTGTAATTTCTCTAGAATAGTGAGCCTTTTGGGACTCACCCAGGGTGATTGTTTCACTAACCTTACCCTTGTTGAATGTCATCAAGTTGGTTGAGCAGGTTCTGACTCATAGCAACCCTGTGTAGGGTTTCCAAGGAGTGACTGGTGAGTTTGAACCGCTGACTTTGCGGTTAGCAGTCTATTTAGCTTACCCTACAGCACCACCCCTTAAGATCAGCGGTTTGGACCCAACAGATGTTTCCCAGGAGAAAGATGAGGCAGTCAGCCTTCTTCCATAAAGATTCGCAGCCTTGGGAACCATAGAATTGAGTTGGTAGCAGTGGGTTTTTGTCATTTGGTCTAATCCTTATGTATTCATTCATTCATTCTAATCTTTGCCACAGCATGAACACCCACACTGGTATGCCAGGCCCCTCCCCTGCTCACAGTCCTCCTATGGTCCCCCAGTCCCCCAGCACAGAGGCCCAGCCCCACTGAGGCCCAGCAGAGTCTGCCTCATCCATCCTGTAGCCTCTTCTCTCCCACATTTCCAGTGCCTCGGTTTTCCCATCTGTAGAATAGGTCTGTTATACACTGCCCCATCCCTTCAGAGCTGAGTGAGAAGACACAGGGTGATGTCTTAGAGGGTGATTGTTGGTGATGGGTTTGCCTTGATCCCCCTCTCCTGAACCTTCTGGATTTCTCTCTTCAGGAAAAGACTTTGACCAGCTTCACAAAAGGCAGCAAAGGACTATCGGAGAAAGAGAACTCAGAGTGAGGGGTAAGGAGCCCAGAACAGGGAGGAGGGGCTGGGGGTCAGGACTCCCGGGTCCGAGGGAGGAGGGGCTGGGGGTCAGGACTCCCGGGTCTGAGGGAGGAGGGGCTGGGGGTCAGGACTCCCGGGTCTGAGGGAGGAGGGG